TAACACATTCCCCTTTTGAATTCTAACCAGCTAAACCTATTCCCACATGCTGCCAGCCCCTTGTCCCCTCCAACCCTTCCCAAAGATAAAATTCCACCAGCCCTCTCACCGGTTGCCCCATTGGCAAAACTAGTAACAGAGTTTTAGGTTCATAGGCTCAACTACTGCAAAACAAAAGACGGAGTGAACCAAATGTAAATCTTGAGGACTGGGGTCAGTGGGTGGCATGTGGTTAAGAGTGCTGGACTCCCACATGGCCGACCATGGTTCAAGTCCCAGACCTGGTGGTTTGCTTTCTCACTTTCGTGTGCGCTCTCTCTTTCACTCTGTCCCTCTCTAGTCAAATTAAAATAAATAAATAAAGTTTAAAAAATAATTCTTTAATAAACATAAATAAATAAATCCTGAGGACAACACAAAATTATTGGGAATAAAATTTTAGATGTAACTTAGGTTATCATATTTTACTGCCATATATATATCATTTAAAAACATTTGAGAATAATGTGGCCCAAGGACATAACTAACATTAAGAATAAAAATATCTTGGGTCAGCCAGTGGTATGGTAGTTAAAGCAGCTGGATCCCATATGGTTGACTATACAGTTTGAGTCCTGGACCTGGTGGCTTGAAAAATACAATGAGCACGTATGCATGCATTCCCAAAATCCTGAGAGAATGGAAAAGGGACTGCAGCATGGCCATATCCCTGAGGGGTGCTTTCTCATTTTCCCTCTCTCTAGCAAGCGTATGTACCCTATAGTAAAATTTTTAAAAAGAAAACTCTCAAAATACTCATATAGAAAAATCACTTACAGGGCCTGTTGCCCATAGCACAGTGGTTAAGCACTGTGCCTTAGGAGCCAGATCCCACAAAGTCAACCATGGGTTGAATTCTGACCCCAGCAGCTTGAAAGACAGGCCAGGAGTATGTGCATACTCTAAATCCCGAAAGGATAGAGAAGTGGAGGAAAAGGGACAGCAGTGTGACAAAATCTCATTTGGGGATGCTTTTTCTCCCTATCCCTCTTTTTATTTCTGGTGAGGGTACATGTCCCTTTGAATAAAAAAATTTAAAATATTTTTTAAAAAGAAGAGAAGAAGAAAGCATCTATACATATATGTAAATAGAATTGGGGAGACAGAGCAATAGCACTAGAAAGTGCTACCTAATGTCAAACTGAAATGTAATAAAAACTGAAAAACATATGGTTGACTATACAGTTTGAGTCCTGGACCTGGTGGCTTGAAAAATACAATGAGCACGTATGCATGCATTCCCAAAATCCTGAGAGAATGGAAAAGGGACTGCAGCATGGCCATATCCCTGAGGGGTGCTTTCTCATTTTCCCTCTCTCTAGCAAGCGTATGTACCCTATAGTAAAATTTTTAAAAAGAAAACTCTCAAAATACTCATATAGAAAAATCACTTACAGGGCCTGTTGCCCATAGCACAGTGGTTAAGCACTGTGCCTTAGGAGCCAGATCCCACAAAGTCAACCATGGGTTGAATTCTGACCCCAGCAGCTTGAAAGACAGGCCAGGAGTATGTGCATACTCTAAATCCCGAAAGGATAGAGAAGTGGAGGAAAAGGGACAGCAGTGTGACAAAATCTCATTTGGGGATGCTTTTTCTCCCTATCCCTCTTTTTATTTCTGGTGAGGGTACATGTCCCTTTGAATAAAAAAATTTAAAATATTTTTTAAAAAGAAGAGAAGAAGAAAGCATCTATACATATATGTAAATAGAATTGGGGAGACAGAGCAATAGCACTAGAAAGTGCTACCTAATGTCAAACTGAAATGTAATAAAAACTGAAAAAAATAATTTTATATGGAATAAACTTTAGCATGGAATCTACTTTCACCATCAAATGCTGCTATATCTAATATGAAAAGTGACCCCCAGCACATTACATCAGTATAATTATTTAATTTCAGTGTTGTTAGAGAAAATTAATAGGTTAATCCAGTAAACTGACATACTATACTGAAGTACCTTAGTTTCTACCAAAGTCTCCAAGTATGTGTGTCATCTTTTGGCTCTGTATCTGTAGGTATGCCCACAGTGGCTTACCTGTAAGTCTTAAATGTTTCCCTTACCTGCTGCTGATCTGCTCCTTTTTTGCTGTGATTCTGGATATAATCAACCAGCCCATGTACTACTGTACGTACAGCAACCAGTCCATTTTCTAGCTGTTCCCAAGTAGGAGGAGGAGCATCTACACAACAAAAAAATTTAAAAATTTAATCTAAGGGTATGGTAATTGCTCAGCTTTAGCTGACTGTGGTTATGTGAAGGTACAAGGTACTGTGGTTATGTGAAGGTGCCAGATACATCACTATTTCCTAGAGAAATCTGAAATTTTAGATTTTTAAGTAAAATTTTCCAGTTAACTGTTGCTATCTAACAAATTCAGAACACTGCAAATTAACACTATATGGACCAAACACAACTGTAGACTACATATGGCCAGTCAATTTGCAGGTTTATTGTGAAGTTTCATATAAATCAATACTGGTAAACAAAAAGTTTGAAAAGTTTAATAGAAGAGCTACTGTATAAAGCAACTCTGCTACATGCTTTTCATTTGATAATGGTTTCCCCAATGGTAACACTGTGATTTTATAAAGGAAAAAAAAAAAGTTAACCATAGGATGAATAGGAAACGTTCTCTAAAGAAATATAAAATGTAGTGAGAAGATAGATGTAGAAATTCTTTTTTTTTCCTGCTGGAGACACCCTGAAAGACTTCTAGGTGATGACATCTGAACTGGGCTTTGAAGGACACATGGAATTTCAACCAGGAGGGAAAAAAAGATGAAGATGGAGAGAAAGTGAAGAGAATCGTCTTTCAACAAGTCTTTTTTAAGAATACCTACAAAGTCTAAGGTATTATCCAAGGGGTGGGAAAGTTAAGAGTAATCAAAAAAATCTCTATTAATTCAAGGAGAGAAGTTAGACAAAAAGGAGACAATCAAAATATAGAGCGTTTAGACAATAATGAACTGAAAAAATAGAGCAAAGAAAACAAGTAGGGCAGGGAGGTGCGTTATTTTAAACAGCAAGGCCAGAGAAGGACTCCTTTCACAAGGTTATATCTGATTAAAGACCTGAAAGAAGGTTTGAGTGTGCCTAGAGAGATACTAGGGGGGAAAATATTCTATAGTTGAAAGAAAGTAAATACAAAGGTCTTGTGTGGGGATGTGCCTGTCATGTTCTATGAAGGTGCTACTGAAGAACAGCAAATTGAGTGGGAAAACAGTAGGAAACGAGGTTGGAGAGAGGTAATGGAAGACTAGACCAGGTGAGGCTTTGTAGACCACAAAAAAGATTTTGGCTTTTACTCTTTGAGTATGATGAAAAGCCACTAGGGTATTTTTGAGCAGACAGGTGACAGGACTGCTCTGGTCCTATGCTAAAATCAGATAATAGGCTATTCCATAAACTATGGAGAGATGAGGATAGCAGCAGCCAAGAATAAAAGAAATATTAAGGATGAATCTTACAGGTAGAGCCTACTAAATTAGCCTATGGATCAGATATAAACCTGACTGAAAGAAGACTCAAGGGTAGCTCCAAGGTAACTGAAAAGATAAAGTTGTCACAAATAGGATGGCAGGATGGGTGAGGAGCTCATTTTTAGATAGTTTAAGTTTGAAATCCTTATCAGATATTCAAGCAAAGCTACTGGATATTGAGAAGGCAGTTAGATATACCAAAAAAAGTTAGGGAAAAGGTATGGGCTATATATAACACACCAAATTCTAAAAGACCAACAATTGTGAAATAAGTAGGTTGAAGATCCCTATATCTGAAATGTGCCAAAATCTGTAACTTTTGATTATGGACACGATGCCACAAGTAGAACATTCTACATTTGACCTCATGAGACAGGTTGCAAATTGCTGCAACATAAAAATATTGCATGAATTACTCTGGCTAAGTGTTAAGAAACATAAAAAGATTCTGTGTTTAAATTTGGGTTCCACCCCAAAATATCTCATATATATATGCAACTATCCTAAAATCTGAAAAAATTCTAAAATACTTCTAGTTCTAAGTATATGGGATAATAGATACTCAACTTGTACAATTATTTTAATGTGCCAACAAAATTTTTAAATGCTAATTACGTCATGTTAGAGCCAGCAAGTGGCATCATTGGTTAAGGCATTGGACTCCCGAATGGTTGACTGTGGATCCAGTCCTGGATCTGGCGGCTTGAAACTCATACCAGGCACGTGTGTGTGCAAGCATGCCCAGAATGTTGAGAGGAGAATGGAGGAGAAGGGACTGTGGTGTGACCATCGATCCTGGGGGATGGTTTCTTCCTTTGTCTTTGACTCGACAGCAAACGCATGCGCCCTATAGCAAAAATCTCTCACACACACAAAAAAAGGTGTAACATGTCACTGTACAAAGGTACTCCAATTTCAGAAATGCAAAGATGTGGGGAAAAAAATGGGCCTCAGAACTGGCAAAATATAATGAATTTGTGAGTCACACGATACTTGAGGTTATGAGACTAAATGAGACCAACAAAGATTATGAAGAAGACTCAAAAGATTAGAGGCTATGAAGATGAGGAGAAAGCAGCGAAGGATACTGAAGCAAGATAAAAGCATTTCAAGGCAAACTGTAAACAATATTAAATGTTAACCCACAGGTAAATACAATGAAAACTGACAACTGACCTTTGGAATTAGCTACATGGAAATCACCTGGAACTTTGACGAAGTAAGTTGGGATAGAGTGGTAAAATGCCTAATTAGAGTGATGTCAAGAGAGTACCACAAAAGGGAGAGAAATTAAAGTGGTAGGTAGATGGGAAATGGGACCAAAAATGGGTTAAGACGAGGGCCAACCCATAGCAGTGGTTATACACTGTGCAATGGGAGCTGGATTCTACACAGCTAACCACAGTTTAAACCTCATCCTCAGCAGCTTGAGAAACATGTTAGGTGTGTATGTATACATGCCCCAAATTCTGATAAAAACACAAAATGAAGGAAGGAGAACTGTGGTATGGTCAGGCCTCATTGGTGGATATTTTTCTCTTTCTCTGGTGAGTTACCGATACCCTCTGAAAAATAAAATAATTTATAAAATGGGTTAAGATGAAATAAAGAACAGTATGTTTGTGAGTTGACAAATTCTTAATAGAGAGGGAAAATAAATGACATAAACAAGAGAAGATATTGGAGGGATGATATCAAATATGTGAGGAAAGAGGGGAGCCTTAGTTAGACAATTTATCTACTTTATTGCAGGGGGACAGAATTTATAGGCACAGATCTAAGTAAACAGGTTAATGTGGTAGAAAGAGTTTGTAGAATTCTCTTTTTGAGTACTCAGAATGACCGAACCCCAGTACTGAGGAAAAAAAAAAATCACTATATATTCTGGAAATCAATCGAATTTGTAATCTCACTAAACATTGTTTTTTTTTTGGGAGAAGTTTTTGCAATAGGGTGTGTGCGCTCACCAGACAGACAGAGAGACAGAAAGCGAGAAATCACCGTCCAGGGGGGATGGCCACGCCGCAATCCCTTCTCCTCCATTCTCCTCCTGGGATCTCAGGCACGCACGCACACGTGCCCGGCATGAGTTTTAAGCCATCGGATCTGGGACGCGAACCGTGGTCGACTACGTGGGAGTCCAGCGACACAGCCATTATGCTAACTGCTCATCCCTCACTAAACAATTTTGAGAGTAATTTACAAAAGCAGCCAAGAGCTTCAAACTTTATTCTACAAGCAATGGAATATAGTTGAAAGTTTCTAAGTGTCAAAATGGAGATCAGATGTGATTTATGTTGCAGCAGTAAGTGAACTGGATCGGAAAAATTTAGTAGAAGAAACTGAAACAGTATTCATTCTCAGAAAAGGGATGAGGCTCTCACTATGGTAGTATGAGCTATGGGACACAGGAGCACTCAAAGAACAGATAATCTTGTTGTCCAAAATGGTATAGAAAAACAAGTAAAAAGATAAGTGGTAAGACAAAAGACTAAGGTTTCAATCTTACACTCCTTAGAGAATGAGGTCATTAATAGAAGAAACACAGGAGAAGGAGCAGGTATCGAGTGTTGATGAGCTTGCTTTAAAACACACAGAGATGATCATTCAAGACCTCAGCAAGCATTTGGAAATGGATCTGTAGTGATGAAGAGATAACAGTAACAGAGACATTCGGGAGTCTATTTCTACAGAGTGGTAATACCTGATACTAAGAATGGACAACCATCATCAACAGAGATTGCAGAGAAAAAGCACCACGAGTGCCACCTGCCTATTCCTTAGAGGGCAAAAGGGGAAGGAGTGATACAAATAAGACAGAGCGGCATTCAGACAGGCCTAAAGAGAACCATGAGACCACAGAAAGATGGATGACCCAGGAGTTTCTACATCAACAAAGTGGTCAACAACAAAGTCAGATGCTCAAGACCAATAAAGTAATTTAAGGACAAAAAGAAGCCTTGTATTAGGGAACTAGTGTTGAATATTAAGGAAGTTTCAGTTTAGGAGTAGAAACAAACATGGGGCAGACATAGAAGCTAAAATTTTTAAATATATGAAGTGAGAAATGAAGATTAAGTTTATTTTCAGGTTAAGAACAAGAAGCAAGAAAGGGCTGATAATTTAAAGATAGGTAAGAGACACTTGAGGGAGCAGATATAATGGAGAAGCAAAAAAACAATCAAGAGGGTCAAGCAGGTGGTGTAGCAATTAAGGTGCTGGACGACCATGTGGCCAACCATGGTTCGAGTTCCAGACCTGAAGGGTTGAAACTCATGCCAGGGGCGTGTGCCTAAGATTCCAAGAGGAGAATGGAAGAGAAGGGATTGCATGGCTATTCACCTTAGGGATGATCTCTCGCTTTCTTCTGTCACTTTGGTGAGTGACACCCTATAGCAAAAATATCTTTCAAACAAACAAACAAACAAATAAATAAAAAGGAATCAAGGAAATGCAGTCAAGGATATGTAATATAAAAAAAAGAAAGAAAAACTCGAGTTTTGGTACAGAAGCAAGAATGGTAAAAGTGCAGTACACTTTTGTGATGGGAGGAAGAATAAGAAACACAAAGGAACTCATCCAGAGAGATCCATTTTTCTGAAGTGAACAAGAGAGTTCAAAGTATTAAATAAATATTAATTGAAGTGAACTAACCTGAAAAAGAAAGACAAGATATGGGACACAAACTTAAGTACAGGAACAACAGATGGCACAGAGGACAGCCACACAGCTGGCCACTGGCCACGGTCGAGTCCCAGACTCAGTGGCTTGAAAATCATGCCAGGTGCATGTGCACAAGTGCATGTGTGTGCCAAAATCCCAGGAAGAGAAGGGATTGCGGTGTGGCCATCCCCTCTGGGGGTGACTCCTAACTTTCCCTTTCACTGTGTGTCTCTCTCTCCAGAGAATGCATGCACCATAAGGCAAAAATAAATAAATAAATAAATAAACAAACAAACAAACAAATATAGGGGCCAGAAGGTGGCATAGTGGTTAGAGCACTGGACTCTCAGTAAACATGGTTTGAATCTTGGACAGGGCAGCTTGAAAGTTACACTGGGTGCGTATGTGTGCATGCCCAAAATTCTAAGAGATGGTAGCATGGCCATCCCCCATGGAGGTGATTTTTCACATTCCCTCAGTCTGTATCTCTCTGGAGAGCACACACACCCTGTGGCAAAAAGCTAAAAACCAGCAACCAAAAAGCCTTAAATACAAGAGTAGAAAATGTGGAATAACCAACTAGAGGAATAAGTAGAATATGCACTGGGGACAGGCATAAGACAGTCCATTACTTTCCATAGCGTTTACCTGGACTAGGGTCAATGTTTGCTAACAGCTCCAGATGGGGTCTTAGTCGGTTCAAATTTGCTGGGTCTCCAGTCCGCTGGAGAGCAATTGTTAGTTCCTGAACACTCTGTGCAAAGGAGGCTGGGGTCTGCAACTTAAAAAAGATAAATATTAACTTTTCCAAAAGTCAGATATTGCCTAAAAATAGACATTACTTAGAACATCACATTCATTTTTACAATTTACTGAATTTAATTTTTATCCTCCCACATACCCTACACTTTGGCCAAACTGGATTATCTGCTACCTGAAGAAACTCTGCACTTCTCTGCATCCACAGCTTGGCACACGGTTATTTCTTCTGTTGTCACATTCTTCAATCATGAGACCTTTCTCAATTCCTAATTTGCAAGTATTCTTTCTACTCTATGACTGTTTTTTTGTGGGGGGGGAAGGGGGAGGTTTTTGCTATAGGGCACGTGCGCTCTCTCTACAGAGAGACAGAAAGCGAGAAATCATCCTCGAGAGGGGATGGTCACACCACAATCCCTTCTCCTCCATTCTCCTCTCAGGATCTTGGGCAAATGCGCACACGCGCCCGGCCTGAGTATAAGCCACCAGGTCCAGGACTCGAACTGTGGTCAACTACATGGGAATTCAGCGACATAGCCATTACGCTAACTGCTGGTCCCATCTACTCTATGTCTTTATAGCACTAGGTTAGTTTGGCTCTTGGGTTTTTCTAAATAACTGAAATTTGGACATACAGCCTAGAGAACATGCTATATTAATACCAACAATGACACTAAATTCATTCAAACTGAGTTTGAGTCCAAGTTCTCTTAAGACGAAAGATCAGGACACCAGATATACACTTCACAAGCTCAATTTGAAGTCCACCTGTTAAGTGAACTAATTTCAAAAGTCTACCTCAGCACAAAAAACGTATTTTAGGGCCAGCAAGAGGTGTGGTGATTAAGATGCTAGATCCCACACGGCCAAATCTGTGGTTTAAGTCCTGCACTCAGCGACCTGAAAAATCACGCCATGCACATGTGCATGTGTGCCCAAAATCTTGAGAGAATGGAGGACAAGAGAATGGAAAACAAGGGACTGTGATGTGGCCACTCCCCACTGCAGAGTGATTTC